AAGAATTCGCTCCATAAGCTTACAGACACACGACATGAGCGAAATAGGTCTAACCGCCTTATTACCAGGTTTAGGTATGAATATAACCAGCGAGGTTTTCCATGAATCTGGGAATGTTCCCCGGGAAAAGATATCGTTGAACATAGATAGCAAATAGATCTTGTGTTCCATGGGCAACTGATCCAGCATCTTATAACAAACCTGATCCAATCCAGGCGTGGAGTTTTTTCTGGACGAGATTTTTGCTCTCCGATATTCGCTCATGGTCAGAGGGTCGTCCAACCCAACATGTGTATTTGTGTTTTTCTCGTCCTCCAATTTCATGTCTGTCAGAGTTTTGGATCTATTGCAAAAGGACGACGGAGGACACAATTTGGAGATAGCTTCCATGGCAATTCGTATGTGTTCTTGCTGCGGGGAGTCTTGTTGCGACGCCCTCCTCTTGAAACTTTTAATCAAGGCCCAAATCTGACTGGTAGGAGTCCTTGCGTTGAAACCATTCACCAGGGTGTGCCAGCCTCTTCGCTTTTGTTCCAGGAGCACCCTGGCGCAGTTTAAGCGGGCCCTGCGGAAATCTTGATGGTTCTCCTCAGAGGGGATGGACAGGAACTCTCTGATAGCTTTCTTTCTATCGCGAACCACTTCGGAGCAGATCTCATTCCACCAAGGCAGAAGTTCTAATTTTTTTATTTGTACAGAGGTGCGTGGAAAACGCTTGCTCTCCGGGAGGAAGCTCCTGGCCACCTCAAGGATGTTGTTAATGAAAGCGTCAACCTAATAAATCATCCCCTTGAGCGGGAAGATCCTTGGTAGCAGAGAGCAGAATCCGAGACAGATCCTGGCACATTTCTTTAGATAACGGTATTTTATAGTAAAATTTTTTTTTGAAGCAGGCTTGGATGCCGATTGTCGTGATGACGGGAAAGTGATCACTGCCGAGAGTATCGGATTTTGTTTTAGTGCTGCACAGAGGTGCCAGGGAGGGAGACGCCAGAACCAGATCTATAGTTGAGGTAGTAGCTGATGAGGCTCTCACAAAGGTTGGCGCTTTTCCATTGAGCATGAACAAGTCATATTCTTCAATGAGCTGATGAAGGGTCCTTCCCGAACTAGAGTGTGTCCTGGAACCCCATGCCGGGTGATGAGCATTGAAATCTCCCAGAATGATAAGGTTCTTATAACCTTGCAGGCTATTGAGCAAAGATCTGAAGAAGGAAGCGGGAGTTCTTTGCCCGGGGTGTCGATAGACATTGACGATAATCACCGGTTCAGAAGTCAGGCACTCAATTCTGACCGCATTGAATTCTACTGATGGATGCTCAGTATTCTGGAGGACAACAAGCTCAGACTTGATATCCGCTCTTACTAGTGTGCATATGCCTCGGTCTCCTGGATGGGTTATATCTTTTCTATATGCGTTGAAACCTTTAATATTGATGACCTTTAATATTATTGTTTTTAAGCAAGGTTTCTTGGATGCAGAGAACATGATAGTCCTTTGCAATTGAAAGCAGTGAGGGAAGTCCACTTCTAATTCCATAGCTGTTCCATTGAAAGATGTTGAATCGTTTGTGAGATGCGCTACTCCCCGAAGCTGTGCCCATGCCAGCCCCGCGACGCCGGCGAACCGGCGAGGGCGACGGCAGCGCCGCCACCGATCCCCAATCCGCCGAGCCGCCGCGCGACAATGGCGGAGACAAAAGACCACGCAGGCCACGTGGGATGTCACTAACCTGATTGGCATTATCGCGTGAAGCAAATGAGTTAGTTCCGAAAGTTGTAGTTACAATCCGATTCATAATCGTAATCGAATACAGAGTCTTGCTGCTATTCGAACCTGTTGTTATAATCATTGATGACATGGGGGATTCTAGAAGAATCTCTCGCTTCTCTGTCAGGCTGAGGAGCAAAGGAAGGAGATTGAAAAAAGTATTTGCCAAGAGTTTTGAGAAGCCTAAAAATGTCGCTAAGAGCGCCGGCGATATTGTTATTCTGAAAGTGTGAAAAGATTCCAGTTGCCATGGCAATTAGCTCAGCAAAGTCCAACTCGTCAGTCGCCTTACCTGCGTACGTACCCCGAGACTCTGACCATTCGGAGGAGTAATTGGAGAAGGCTATGCCGTTACCAGACTTGTGCGAGGCTCGGCCGTTGGCCTCGATGAAAACCTGGCGATGAGCCCCTTCATCATAGCCACCCTCAAGCGTGCTGGGTTGAGTCACGTATCTGCGAGATGGAGGCGCCGACGCGGACGTCGGCGTCGGCGTATTCCCTCTGCGAAAGATCTGCTTGTTTCTTTGTGGCTGTGGTTGTGGTTGAATCTGAGATTTTAAGGTTTCAGCATATGAGCGGTACACGTTTTCAGGTTCTTCAGTACTTAGAAGGTTAAATCTGTTAGAATTTTCGAAGTGAGTCTCCTTACCGCGAGGGAGATTGGGAAAGTTGTTCTTTCTGTTGTTATTTCTCAGCGATGCGTTGGGAGGTGGAGAGGAGGGTTTCCAACCTTTTTCAACCCAGATTCTTGCGTCCGCTATGGAAATATTTTCCACAGCAGCAAGACTGACTATAGTGCGTTGTTTAACAATCATTGGACAGTTTTGATTGTTGGCCCAGTGGTCACCTTGGCAATTGATACATCTGGGGCTCTCCCCCTGCATACGACACATCTGACCTGCACTGTTATTACTGCTGCTGTCATGCTTGTCTTCACCACAATGCAAACATCTAGGAGTGCTCTTGCACGAGCCGCTTACATGCCCGACTCTATGGCAGAGATGGCAGATTCTCGGTAGTGGAATATAAGGGCGAACCTCATGCCTGACCTTGAACAAAAAGATTTCTTGCGGCAGGATCTGACCTGCAAACTTAATGCGGATTGTTCTAGATGGGACATATTCGATCTTATTATTTGTGACACATCTCTTGTTTAGTCTCTGCACATCAATTATCTTGGCTTTTGGCGATTCCAGTCCTTCCTTTAGAACGTCCAGTTCGATTTGTTGTGGGATATCACTGATTAAGCCTGTCCTGAGAACCTTGAAAGAAGGAATAAATGCTTTCAGGTTATGTTTAGTAAACACAGAGTTTTCCACCAATCGATTGGCACTCGAGGCGGTTTTGACTATAATCGTTATCTTTCCTTTACCAGTTTTCTTTATTTCGAGGATGTCAGGAATGCCAGCTTTAACTATAATGCGGCTTATGAGCGTGGAATGTACGATATTGTCTCGAGAGTTAGGATATACATAAACAACGTACGGGCCTATGTCGCGCTGACTGTATCGCGGCGTTATTTTATTGCTCGAGTTCTGGTTGGCTGAATTTTCATGCGAATCCGCCCGAACACTGGACGGCGAATCAGGGTTACTTACACTCGCGCATGCACCTTTCTTGGCGGGAGGTGCATGCTTGTTTTGAGTATTATCCTCTGCAAGCCCTGGCAATGCTCGTTTTTTAGCTTGTCTTTGTTCCTCATCGATGTCCATGGGGGACGAATGGAAGGCCCAGAGGTGACGAAAGTCGCCCCATCCGGACCCACCGGACATTCATTACCTGCGTTATTGATGCCGCACTCTAACGCGGTCGCCTCATCTCGAGGGTGGCTCGGCATTGTCAGGCCAGCCTCCTTATAAATGTCTTCTAATAGGATTTGAGAGGCCTGTTCGCTATGGGGAGAGCTAGAGGGGGGGAAGATATATTAGAATCGGAGGATTTAGAATAGAATAGAAGAAGGATTTAGAATAAGAGTCAGGGGATTAAGAGAGAAAGATGCGCCCGAAACGCCGCCGCGGCCATCATCCCCCACCCCGGGGGGCTGAGGCATGATGCCTCAAATTGAGTCAAGCCTTTTACACTGTGTTTTGCAGTGACGGCACAAAGTTTATGTTCAGAAGTCCGGAACGAGAAACGTTCAAATAACTAGAGCAAGGCGCACAATAGCTACTCGCAGGCGAAATATACTCGCTACACGACCAAACAACACGGAGACAGGAGACGCACGTCCGCACCCCAGCGCGGATCGACACTCACTCTGTATAGTGCTACGAGTATGCCTTCTTCATGCTCTCTGACTTCATGCGCATGCGCTTGGTTTCGTTTCAGTCAGAGTGCACGAAATTTAAAATCAATGGTATAAAATTAAACGTATGTAGTAGTGCTTAGACAGTGTCCCCTTCGAATATTTGTAACCCATGTAGACAGTGGGGTGTATAGACAGTAATGGTTGAGTTCGGGCTACGCCGCCCGAACCCAAGCATTACTGTCTATACACCCCACTGTCCACATGGGTGATTTATTTTGGATAGAACTACATACAATACAGCAGTAAAATAGTGAATTTGTTTGTAAAGCAGTGAATTTATAAAGCAGTGAATTTTTTTTTCAAAGGAATAACAGTCAATTTAATTTTAAGCCATAATAAATATATGATTTATTAAAACAAAATAACAGACATTTCAAAATATAGATACATAAAATAAAAAACAAAAACATTCCATAGACTTATTATGTGAAAATATAATTTATGTTGTAGTCTCTACAACATCTGTATTTTGAAAGGTCTTCGGTGGATGTAGTTCTGCAATTACACAGAAGAAACTATGTAATCGCTCGTCATATTTATGAACACGTTTAAACAAATATTCAGCTAAATAGCCTATTAAATGTTTATTACGTTTTCCATATCGTGGGATATTACTTCTGACTTCCCTCCAAACGCGTTCAATATGTTGAGTGTGGGCTCCTGAAGAAATAAAAAAGATGTATGTTAAAAAAGATGTATTTATATAATTTTTGCAAATTAGACATAACATTTTTTTCATTTTCTTGTGTATATATTTCAAGAAATGTATAATTATATATTTGAAATGTACAGGGTGAGTCATTTTAATCTATGGACCCGAATATCTTCCAAATTACGGTATCTACAAAAAAATGGTTTAGACAAAAGTTGACCAGGGCAAAGGGGGTCATTTAATTGTACCATTGGTTTTGACCTTGAGGTCAATTTTGAAGGTTATTTCAAGGTCACGATGGTTTTTTTAAATGGGACACCCTATTTTTGACTGCGGATTTCGAAAGAGCGGAAAATTTTACATCAAACTTGTCTTATGAAAAAATTGTTTTTGCGACCTTGGAAAGGTAAAAAATGAAGGTCAAATGCCTGAAAAACGATCTAGTGTACTTTTTCTGAAATGACGTGGTTTTCTGGGTAACACAAATGTGCATAATGCTTGAAAAAAGTCAATGAATTGTAAAAGTGTAAATCACTTTGACTAGCTTGACCTTGAGGTCAATTTTCAAGGTTGTTTGAGGCTCATAACGCATTTTTTTATTAGTAAACCCTATTTTTGACCGCAGAACTTGTTTTTTGACAATGGGCTCTTAAACAATGGCACTTTTTACATGAGCATAGGGATTTTTTAGCTCTTGGTTTGCGAGGTTTGCGCTGTGAGCAGAGGAAGTAGTTAGGCTTGTCACCGCCAGATGCCGTCGCAGAGCTCCCAGCTATGCGCACCTTACGTCCGCTGCTCCCGTAGTAGAAATGGATTTCCATTTAGACATAAGGCGTCTACCCGCCAAGTACAGATATTGCATAATGCTAATAATCAACGATTGAAAAAAACTAAACAATTACGTTTGATTTAAGTTTTATAATTATTGTTATAATAGAGTTTTATTCCTTTTCTTTCTTACTCACTTCTGCATAATTGAAGAATTTAGTATTTAAAATTGCTTAAATTTTAAAATTCCAAACATTGTATGTAGGTAATTACATTCACAAGTTACCTTTCCAGAATGGCCGATTATAGTCCTAATGGGATTGTTGATATTATATTAGTTTTAGGGGAGTGTCATAGCAATTACAATGCAACATCAAGGCTTTATACTCAACGTTTTCCTGAAAGGCGACATCCAACTGATATGACAATACGTAGTTTAGTCCAAAGAGCTCGCAATGGACATCTTGTTCGTCAACGTCAACATCATGAATATGACGAAAATGATGCGCGAGCTGTAACTTTTTTTTTTCTTAATCCTCATGTTAGTACTCGCCAGATTGAAAGGGAAATAGGTATACCACAAAGAAATGTTGTTAGAATTTTAAGAGCTCTAAATTATCACTCTTTCCACATCACTCTTACGCAGGCTTTACAGCCTAATCATCATCTGATGCGTATTGCTTTTTGCCAGTGGGCTTTACAAATGTTACACGATGATCCTAATTTTTTAGGTATGTGCTATTCTCAGATGAGGCTACATTTTGTAGTAACGGACAACTTAATAGACACAACTGCCATTAATGGTCACATGTTAATCCCCACTGGTATAAGCCAATAGATCATCAAAATCGATGGAGTATTATGGTGTGGTGTGGCATTGTAAATGGTTATTTGATTGGACCTTATTTTTTTGAAGAGAACGTTGATAGACACAGTTACTTATCGTTGCTAAGAGATCACTTACCAGGCTTATTAGAAGATGTTGACTTAGCAACAAGAGCAAGAATGTGGCTTCAACAAGATGGTTAATCGCATTATGCA